GGGCCAACTATGTCCATTGCCCACTTTATGAACGACCATGGCGAAGTAACGGAATGAAGGAGCTCCCTTGTTTGGTGTATCATAAGGGGCGTACTTTTGACATTGTGCACATCTTCTGACATAGTCGGCGACTTCTTTTTTCATGGTGGGCCAGTAGTATCCGACGCGAATGAGGCATCGGATGAGGGCACGATTTCCTGTGTGGGCGCCGCAGTGCCCTTCGTGTACTTCTTCTAGTACTCGCCTTGTTTGATGTTGCCCAAGGCATTTAGCTAGGGGGCCACCGAACGTTCTTTTGTAGAGATCGCCGTTTACTAGGCTGTACCGGGTTGCTTGTACCGGGAGTTTTTTGGCTTCTTTTTTGTCTTGCGGGAGCGTTCTATCCTGCAAATAGGCTACGAAGCGGTTACGCCAGTCCCGAGTTAAGTTTATAGAATGTACCTCGACATGGTCTATTGCGGAATGAAGTAGGGTGACCACGTTTCTTTGTTGATATTCTTGGTGGCCGCAGCCAGTTTAGCGAGGCCGTCTGCTTCGATATTGTGCGCCCTGGGTATTTGGTCGAGCCGACATTCGTCGAATTCTGGCAGTAGTTTGTGGATTTCTGACTGGTATCTTTGTAGCCTCTGCTCCTTGATTTGGAAAGTCCCGGTGACCTGATTCACCACGAGTTGAGAGTCGCAGTGGAGGACGAGTCATCGAGCGCCATATTTGAGGGCTAACTTCAAACCTACAATCACAGCTTCATACTCGGCCTCGTTGTTAGTCATCTCGGGGCATCGTATGGACTGGCGAATTACTTCGCCTGCAGGGACCTCGAGGACGAGTCCCAGTCCCGAGGCATTAGAGGCACCATCGGTATAGAGGACCCAGAGGTCGTTACGTGTAGAAGTGCGGAGTGTTTCCTGTTCTACCTCGGGCAATATTTCCGTGCTGAAATCAGCGACGAAGTCCGTGAGCATCTGCGACTTGATGGCAGTTCGCGGTTGGTACGTTGTGTCGTGCTCGCTTAGTTCTATGGCCCATTTGGCTAATCTACCCGACAGTTCGGGTTTGTGTAGGATACCCCTTAGAGGGAAGGTTGTTACCACTTTTATGGGGTGACATTGGAAGTACGGTCTAAGCTTCCATGAAGCTACGACTAGTGCCAGAGCTAGTTTTTCGAGGTGAGGGTACCTCGTCTCGGCATCGATTAAAGTTTTGCTGATATAGTAAATCGGGGATTGCATACCTTTATTTTCACGGACCAAGACCGCGTTTACCGCGACTTCGGAAACCGCTAGATACACCAGTAGGCATTCATCTGGATCCGCTTTGACGAGCAGTGGTGGCGAGGATAGATACGTTTTCAGCTTTCTCAGGGCGTCAATACATTCATCATTCCATTGCAACCCGTGATCTTTCCTTAGTACATTGAAGAATTTATGGCATCTATCTGTGGATCGTGAAATGAACCTTGATAGGGCGGCTATTTGTCCAGTCAATTTCTGCACCTACTTTTTGCTGGTCAGTATTTCCGGTATTGCGTCGATGGCCTTGATTTGGTCCGGGTTGACTTTGATTCCCCTTTGTAACACTAGGAAATCGAGGAACTTTCCAAAAGTCATGCCGAAGGCGCACTTTTCGGGATTCAATTTCATTCCGTACTGCCTAAGTATTTTGAAGGCTTCCTTCAGATGACCAATGTGATCTCCTTTCTTTGCCGACTTCACTAGCATGTCATCGATGTAAACCTCCATTGTCTTACCAAGTTGTTCTTTGAACATTTTGGTGACTAACCTTTGATACATGACCCCTACGTTCTTTAGCCCTAACGGCATCACCTTATAGCAGTACGTACCTCGGTGAGTGATGAAAGTGGTATTTTCTTTATCTTCTTCAGCCATTAGAATTTGGTTATAGCCGGAGTATGCGTCCAAGAAGCTCAGCAGTTCGTGTCCCGCTGTTGCATCGATAAGTTGGTCGATGTGGGGTAACGGGAAAGAGTCCTTAGGGCATGCTTTGTTCAAATCGGTGAAGTCGACACACATTCGCCACTTCCCATTCTTCTTTTTGACCATGACCACATTGGCGACCCATTGGGGGTATTTCGATTCTCTGATGGAACCGTTGGCGAGTAATTTATAAACTTCTTCGCTGACCGCCTCATTGATCGCGACATTGAACTTCCTCCTCATTTGACGTTTCGACGGATAAAGTGGATCGACATTTAGCTTGTGTGTGGCGATCTCCCTTGGGATTCCTGGCATATCTAAGTGGGAAAAAGTGAACAAATCGGCGTTGTTAGTTAAAAACTCACGATACTTACCTGGCTCCGAGAGGTTGTGTCCAACATAGGCCTTTTTGGTGCAGTCAGTGTTATCTAACTGGACGGGATCAAGGTCCTCCACGGTTGCTCTGCAAGCTTCTACAATGTCAGGATCTTTGATGGCCTCTACTTGTATATCGGGTTTGGTGCCCGACATGGCTGACTGCTATGCTTCCGCGCTTGCCCCTTTTAGCTGCTTGGTGTGTGTGCAATCTTGGGCGATCCGGTAGCATTCTTGGGCGGTACGTGGCTCGCCTCGGATGCTGAATATCTCCCATGGGGCGGGAAATCTGATCAATTGATAGAAGTTTGAGGGGACGACTCGCATGGCGTGTATCCATGGTTGCCCTATGATGGCATTGTAGACCGTTTCCTGGTTCATGACGTGGAGTGTTGTTTTTAGGGTGACCCCTCATGCTAGGACAGTCAACACTATTTCTCCGGGTGTCCGCTCTACTGTATTATTAAAACCCGTTAGTGTTATGCAACGCTGTATTATTTTATCCTCGAGCCTCATTTGCATGAGAACTCGTGGGTGAACAATACACGCGCCGCTTCTGTCATCCACCATGATTCTTTTTACATCGGTGTCAGCGATGCGTAAAGTTATAACCAAAGCATCGTAGTGAGGGAAAGACAAACCATCGGTATCTGACTTATCGAAGATGATACTATCTTCGAGGTCATCATACCGTTCGTAAGCGACTGTCCGTTTGAGTTTGTGCGTGGTAGTGAACTTCACATGGTTGATTACTGTATCATCGTCGCCGCCAATGATCATTTGTATGGTACGCGCTGGCGATGGTGGCTTTGGAGGTCCTTGAGATGGGTCGCGTCCTCGAGCGAAGTTGGCCCTTCCTTTATCGCTTAGCAGTTCTTTCAGGTACCCCTGGTTCAACATCCTAACTACTTCTTGTCGCAGACCTATGCAATCTTCGGTCTTGTGTCCTCTTTCTTGGTGGAATTCGCAAAGGACGTTCGACCTCCTGGTGCTTGGATCCGATTTTATCTTTTGCAGCCACTGCACCTTCGTGCGCAGTTTCTCCAGTGCGTACACTATTTCTGAAGGGGAAACACTAAAAATATGAGCGGATAGTAGTGGAGGCATACCTCTTTCGTTTCGGAGGGGTGACGTGTGTCGTGGCATGACGTCGAGTTGGATGTACGGATATAGGGGCTGATGCCTTTCTCGATTGAAACGTCGTGGTTGATCTCTTCGCCCATCGTTACGTCGATCTCTCCTTGTCTCGGTCTGGACTGATGTTAATCGCTGAAGCAGCCCGTTCAGGTCGTTCTCGTCTGCCCTTACCTCGGTGCAATATGTGTTGTGGGTTTCTTCCCATGTGGTAGGGGGTACTTCATGAGTTTACTGAGCAGTTTTTTGGTCGCCTTTGATCCGTTCCTGTTTAACCCATTTTGAAAGGCTGCTACTGCCATCCCTTCTGACACGTTCGGTAGACTCATCCTTACTTTGAATCGGTCCAGGAAATCCTGAAGTCTCTCGCTCGTCGTTTGCCTGATGGCGAAGATATCGTTGACCCTAGCCTCGGCCTTCTTCGCTCCTGCATGGGCGGTGGCGAATTCATCCGCCATCTCTTCGAACGTCGCTATCGATCGCGCTGTAGCTGGGAGTACCATGTCAATGCTCCCCCTGTCAAAGTTTCGCCGAACTTTTTTAACAGCATAGACGGTACCTGTTCTTTTGACAGATCATTGCCCTTTACTGCAGTAACATAATGGATTAGTTGGTCCTCCGGGTCCGTGGTCCCGTCATATATTTTCAAATATGGCGGCATCTTGAAGGTCTTTGGAATAGGATGAGCAGCAACCCCTTCGCTGTATGGCTGTTCGACGAATCGGCCCACGTCGCATTTTGGTTATAGCTTCGGAGCGCCCGGTATTTTATCGACCCTCTCCTGATGTTCCTTCATTTGGTCGCGGAGTGTTTTGTTCTCATTTTCCATCTCTTCCATTTTCTTTAAGATGTCCATGAGTGCATCGTCACCTGCATTAGTAACAGTGCGGGTGTTACCTGTTCGTGTAGCGCTTGGCTCGTCGGCGGTTGCTGTGATTTCTGTAGGTGGCACGTCTTCGACATCTCCTTGAGTGGGTTTCTCGAGCATGTTGCTCAAAGCACTCGTTAGCCATTCTTCTAGTAGCCTTTTGACTGCAAGTGGGGCTTCCCCCGCCGTGGATGCTGAGGTTCCCCTTTCGCGTAAGATCGTTAGATCTCCGTGTGGAAGAGGTGAGATCTCTCCCTCCGGTGTTGCGCTTGGTGTTGCATTCTCATTGTCTTCTCTGCTGGCTTCGTTGAGGGAGTTCAGGAGATTATTCGAGGCATCTGCTACCGCCTTTAGCCTCGCTTCCTTTCCCGCCATTGTTGGTTTATACGAAGTTTGAAGAAAAGTAACTATCACTTTCAGGGATCTAGATGAGAACTATGGTTTCAGCTATAGAAATCCCCACAGACCTTTAGACAAATCAATCAAAGATGAAGGGGTAAATCGTAGCTGAAGATAATAGTCTCTAGAATAATAGTAAGTAAAGAGAAGAGAGTTGCCAAGTTTTCTTTTTGTTCGAGATTGATAAGTTTTCCAGAATCTCTCCCCTTGCAAGGTCCTGTTTTCCCCCTTATATACTAGAGAGAAAACATTCGGAATTATAAGAACTAAAAATACAAGGAATATTCTTAATGTCTCCTAATGGGCTTACATTTCTACAAGGGTCGTACAATTTCTACTTTTGCCTTACGGTCGTCTCCCTCGGGACGCCGATTCAAAGGTACTCGGTCGTTGGTCGTACTCATCATAGGTTGAGGTCGGTCAAATTTGGACCCATACAGTAGTCATTTATGGAACGAAATTTAAGAGATGTTTATCAGTTGAAGTTTTACATCATAAGTCGGACATGACAGTTTAGATAAGCTTATAATTTTATATCTTTTACTTTTCCAGTTACATAGTTGTTCCTTTTTAAGCACATTGATCCGTTCAGCTATGGCTAATTCAATAGATCTACTTATACTTCATTGTTTAGTTATACAATTGATCTATATTACTTAAGAAAGTCAGTTATGTGTATGCTTTGATGTCTTGGAGAACCATGAAACGTTGAAACTAGAGTCAAACTGTTGATTGAATCCGCGCTATATCCTACGAAAGACACTGGTTCCTTTCAGGGGGTTTGTTTCCTTTTTCAAATTGCATTATACCAATGTAACTTTGTAAGCATTTTTTTCTTCGTTGGAGCACCAGTACTTTTATTAGCCATTGATTTGTATAATCTTTGCATAACTTTCAGTGGAGCATAGGAAAGCTTTGCTTTGAGTACGACACGGAGCCCTACTATCAAGCTTTGGATGTAAAAGTCAAGGTAAAATTTCTTTCCAATTGAGGAAAGGTTTAATTTCCTAAAGGCAAGCTTAGTCAGATCCCAAAAGGTGTTTCTTGGTTGGTTAGATAAGTTTTAAATTAAGAAGCTTTTTGGTCACATAATGAATGATTTGGTTCTTGGCTAAAGAACATTTACTTTTGCTCCACAGAACCACGCTTCTGTAGCTGGTGTAGAGATTTTCTCTCCTGTGAGTCACACCCTCTACAATCCTGCTGATATAATAAATAAGGTATGTACACAACATATGAGTTAAAAACTAGCTTCAGAAATCTCAGAGGACCACACTGCTTATTTTCCGGGAAAAGACGTTTATGGATAAAAGGGTGGTCTTCTGTTTTCTTGTTGAAAAAAGCAATTAGTGTGGAATGACATTAGGTCTAGATTCCATATTGATCAATTTTATTTGATTGTCTACAAAGAATGGGGGATCCCCACCTCTGACTTATCAGTCTTTCCTTAAACTGGCTGGGCAACCATCTTGGGCATCAACCCCTCTTTCAACAACAATATCTTCTCTTCCTCCTATTGGAAATACTGGAAATTTTGCGGTGTCAGGAGTTCCNAGTCTCAGAAGTTCCAACTGTCAAAGAACTTGGTTATGAAGATTTAAACGAGGTATGAATTACAAGTTTCTGGTGAAGTCCTTCTGGTGTACATCTTATTACAAATTTCGTGTGCAGGACGAGCGGACTCCTTTTAAAGGTGGAGAATCAGAAGCACTGAAGAGATTGAGAGAATCAATTGCAAACAAGGTGTCTCGATGTTTAGCATACAAAATTAGCCTTATGCAATAAATTTCTCAAATCTCTCTGTTGTCCTATATATTCTCCTTCGCTTTTGTACCAATTTGCTAATACAATGGAACTGCTTATTTCCTGCTGCAGGAATGGGTGGCAAATTTTGAGAAACCCAAGGGTGATCCATCTGCATTTATGAAACCAGCTACAACAGTTTTATCACCTTACTTAAAGGTGAGCTGGACACAGGCTAATAGAATTAGTACTTATTATTCTGAAATATTATAATCTCTTACCCTCACATTCCTTTCGAAGTTTGGTTGTCTCTCTTCCAGGTATTTCTACCAGTGCATTCAGGACATTCAGAAAAGCGTTAAAAAGCATACATCTCCACCTGTTTCTCTTCTTGGACAGGTAGGTTTGCCTATTGTTTCGTGTTCAGAGCTCTTATACGCCCAAGTAACTTACAATTTCATCAACTACTGCAGTTGTTATGGCGTGACTTTTTCTACACAGTTTCCTTCGGGACTCCTAATTTTGATCAGATGAAGGGTAACAGAATATGCAAGCAGGTTATGACAGCAAATCTTCTTCTTTGATTTGGTGCATGTTCCTCAAATCCGTTTTTTTGCACTGTTGCTTATTCCTCTATACAATGCTAGGTTCCCATCAGGTGAATTTCTATGTTCTTGTTTTTTCTGATTTAATGATTCACTTTATCTGAAATGTAGGATGTTGCCTTCTCCAATTTTTGTTTCACTCTTAGTTTGGTCCCTTTGGTGTTATTGAACCNCGGTGTCAGGAGTTCCAACTGTCAAAGAACTTGGTTATGAAGATTTAAACGAGGTATGTATTATGAGATTTTTGGTGAAGTCCTTTTGGTGTACATCATATAACAAATTCTGTTTGCAGGACGAACGGACTCCTTTTAAAGGTGGAGAATCAGAAGCACTGAAGAGATTGAGAGAATCAATTGCAAACAAGGTGTCTCAATGTTTAGCATACAAAATGTAGCCTTATGCAATAGATAGCTCAAATCTCTCCGTTGTTTTATGTATTCTCCTTGGCTTTTGTACCAATTTGCTAATACAACGGAACTGCTTATTTCCTGCTGCAGGAATGGGTGGCAAATTTTGAGAAACCCAAGGGTGATCCATCTGCATTTATGAAACCAGCTACAACAGTTTTATCACCTTACTTAAAGGTGAGCTGGACACAGGCTAATAGAATTAGTACTTGCTATTCTGAAATATTCTAATCTCTTACCCTCACATTCCTTTCGAAGTTTGGTTGTCTCTCTTCCAGATATTTCTACCAGTGCATTCAGGACATTCAGAAAAGTGTTAAAAAGCATACATCTCCGCCTGTTTCTCTTCTTGGACAGGTAGGTTGCCTGTTGTTTCGTGTTCAGAGCTCTTATACGCGCAAGTAACTTACAATTTCATCAACTACTGCAGTTGTTATGGCGTGACTTTTTCTACACAGTTTCCTTCGGGACTCCTAATTTTGATCAGATGAAGGGTAACAGAATATGCAAGCAGGTGATGACAGCAATCTTCTTCTTTGACTTGGTGCATGTTCCTCAAATCCGTTTTTTATGCTGTTGAATATTCCTCTATATAATGCTAGGTTCCTATCATGTGAATTTCTATGTTCTTGTTTTTTCTGATTTAATGATTCAGTCTATCTGAAGTTTGAGAGTGAACTATCTCTAGGATGTTGCCTTCTCCAATTTTTGTTTCGCTCTTAGTTTGGTCCCTTATCTATAATTACAACAGCATCTATAAAATTCTATTGTGCTTTCAAGAGTACTTTGACGATGACTGAGCTTATTGTCTTCGGTACTTATGTGTTCTACCTTTCTTATGGAAAGTCGAAGCTTGATGATTTTGTTGATGAATGTTAATTTGTTATTGGTTTATATATTGGTCTGTTCACCGAATCTTTTAGTTATTGTTTCAATTTCTTAAACAATTTCTAATGTTGTAGTAATTGATGTTTTACTATACTTGACTTATCTCATTCTGGCCTGAGTTTTCCTTGTTAAATTATAGTGGGAATATGTATATATAATTCTCTACCTTCCAACAGATCCCTTGGAAGAATGATGACGAACTGCTTGCTGCTTGGAGAGATTCCAGAACGGGCTTTCCTTGGATTGATGCCATAATGGCCCAGGTTAGATCGCTGGACCTTGCTATTTTGTTTATACTTGAGAGATACTTATTGGAGGTTCTTTGTCTGATTTGATATCGTTAGTCTATCTGATCTTTGTTCTCAATGTTTCAGCTCCGGAAATGTGGTTGGATGCACCATCTTGCTCGACACAGTGTTGCTTGCTTTTTAACTCGTGGGGATCTGGTAAATCACTTCAACTCTGGGGTAAAAGTTAATTTTTTGAATAATTTCTTCATTTTTTACTAGTTAGTGTTGTGTTGATAGTTTGTGCATTGGGAGAAAGGGCGTGATGTTTTCGATAGACTGCTTATTGACTCTGATTGGGCAATCAACAACGGAAACTGGTTATGGCTATCATGCTCTTCATTTTTCTACCAGGTGCATGTTATTTTGTGAATCATCTATGTTGTTTATGAGGAGTGCTTTTCTACATTTGCGCTGGTGTTTTAATATTTTTTACCATTGGTCACAAAAATGCATCAATTAGATTCACTATGTTGAGAATATAGTTATCCCAAAGATCACATTATACGAAATTAAGCAGTTGAATGGTATACTGGTCTTTTATTTGTTCCAGTATAAGACTTTAAAAAGAATCAGGTGGTTCTTAATGTTGAGTAAATGTAATCAGGCGATCCTAAGAGTTTAACATAGGAAGTGCATAGTTTTATATTTGTAGTCTCGATCAGTTGTCCTGGATGACCTCAAATATTCTGACCATTGGGGTTTACTTTTCAGTACCATCGAATTTATTCACCAACCTCATTTGGGAAGAAATATGATCCTGCCGGGAACTATATCAGGCATTTTCTCCCTGTTTTAAAGGGTACGTTGAACTGATTTTCTTATGCTGCAATTCCTTCTCCTTTTATCTCTCTTATTGGCAAATCTAAATTCATTGACAGATATGCCAAAGGAGTACATATATGAGCCTTGGACTGCTCCCTTAAGCGTCCAGCGTAAAGCAAGATGCATCATTGGCTTAGATTATCCAAACCCCGGTCAGTTATTTCTGCTTCTTGCAGTCAGGCTATCCATCTGACACTCAAACTTGTTATGTTCGACGCCCATTATATTTATATTATGTGCAATCATATGCTCTTTCATATGATACACAGATTTATTTTTTTCAGAAGGATGCGCATGCATTTTGATTCAGCAACATAGATTGGACTATTATTTCTTTCATTTTGGTAATTCAAACATGCCTAAAACAATACTATATCCCAAAGTTCCACATTATAGTAACTAATTTTTTCCCGAAGTAACTGATTCACTCTTGGTTATTTCGGCCTAATTGAATTCTCATAGACTTTTGGCTTCTAGATCTTGAAATTTTTTAGTCGTAGCTAGTGTTTGTGATGGATTTTGCTCATTCTGGTATTTATTCTTGATTTCCTGTCTCCGTGCTATGTGATATTTTACCCGCTTTAAGCAACTATAGTTACATTTCCTAATCGATAGATCTATAGTTCACTTTGTAGGAATGAGTGGTAAAATATGTAACTATGCATATATTGATTCAGTGTTTCATTTGTGCCAGTTGTTTCCCATGATTCTGCAAGCAAAGAATGTCGGATGAGACTTGGTGAAGCGTATGAATTGAACAAAAAGCTGAATGGCCGGGTCAGTGAGGAAGACTTGAACAAGTTAAGAAGAAAAAACGACAATGAATCTGCAATTGTGGATTCCATTTCCAGGAAGAAGAAACAGAAGTTAATTTGCTAAGATTGCATCATCAAAGCCATAGTCAGGTTTCTACGAGATTTGCAGCAAGGTGCACCAGCAATTATAGGAACTACAAAGGAAACATTCTCCTTCAATTACACTCCATAAAAATGATTCCAAGTGTGTTCAAATGTAGGAATCCTTTGTATCTTGTATATGCCAGGAGATTATAGTTAACATTATTGAGAAAGGGGCATACCTCTGGTATATGCGATATTTAGAGTACAAAAGATGGCGTCCTTGTTTGACCAAAAAATGTTAAGCTTCTTGTTAAACTAATTAAATAAGAAGACTTTAGGTAAATCTTAGCCAATGCTAATTTACTCCAGATCCAAGATAGAAGATATGAATAAGCTAATAAAGCAAGCATAAGATTTAACTGTAATATTGATTAAATTCCATTATATAAGAAGAGGTTGGCGATTCCATAACATTAAACAACAATGAAGAATACATGAATGGAAAAGGTCACCGATCTTTAACAAGGTAGAACCCCATTCATTTGATGTGATGAGACTAACGATGTATGTTGAAGGATCTGAGCTTCCTTGCTTCTTTCTCCTTTATGGACAAAAGATGAAGATCCCTCCTCTTCTCAGAGAGCATGCCTATCTTTGGATTTTCTCCCCCCTTGCTTCTTCTTCTCACTTAGTTTATATACTAGGTCTTCTCCTTTACCCAACGGTCATTAACCAGAGTACTTAAGTCATTTGACTATATTACGGGCTGACCCCTTGAAATGCCGTAATATCCAATTCTCCTCTCAGATGTTCTAAATACGTGATCTCGACGTGGCCGAGGTGTGTATCGTCACAACGTGGTGTGGATACGACAGTCCCCAATAACTTTTTGCCGTCTCTCCCAACGCTGATTCTTGTATGGTCAAATTTTGACCCATACAGTTAGTCCCTCCGCCCGTTGGGGTAGTCTCTTGGCGAGCTCGATGGGCGGACTCTGTTGAGTCAAAAATTAGGAGAAATCTGAACGATTTATGCGAGAGACGAGCACCACATGGTGAGGTAGCGACGTGACGTTTCTAGAGTTGCGTTAGACCGTTACATCAGTTCAGAATGTCATTAATACTTCTCATGCGTCATTATGGCGCATGTTTTCTATGCATTGAGTCATTTCCCATGCCCTTTCCGTTTTCTAAATGGTGCCGTTTGGTTTTCCTGCTCAAGGCATTCATATCCCTATAAATAGGGGAGAATCTTTCATTTGAATGTCACGCTTCTTAATCGCTCAAGAGAGATTTTTGTAACTCTTCTTCTTCTTCTTCTTCTTCTTCTTCTTCTTCTTCTTCTTCTTCTTCTTCTTCTTCTTCTTGCCTCCGTTAGGATTTGCTGTGACCACTACCTTTTTCCCTTATCATTCTCGTCTCTTTTAATCAAAGAAAAGATGGCTAGTGCTTCTTCCAACTCCGATAGAGCTGTTGGTGCTCCGGTGCCGAAAAATGATCTACCCCTAATCGAAGAGGGAGCGGAGATGGCGGAGGACGAGGGTTTTCCGACGGTAGATGAGGTGGTTCCCCGCCCAGGGAAGGCAGAGACTGACTTCAATAGCCTTGCTGGAGATGAGCCGGAACCCGTTATTTCTACGATAGATGTGCGGCGCTCACGACGTTCAAAGCCAAATGGGGATCCCTGATCACATTGAATTGGTTCCGGCGGATCAGGACATAATACATATACACCACACGGGCTACTGCGCAGTTTATGCGTACCCCTTTGTCATCGGTTACACGCTCCCCCTTCCTTCATTGGTGGTGGTTTGTGCCGCTTCTATGAGGTGTCTCCGGCAGCTCTCTCCGTACGCGTACAAGCTTTTCCTTATGCTCATTAAGTACGCGGAGCTGGCCGACCGAGGGATATCTCTACGACACATGCTTCATCTCTTCGCCCCCCATTTTGTTAGGGGTACGATGATTCACCCGCGTCACCGAGGAGCCAAGAACTTGGTGGTGAAGATGGATGACAAGGCAAATCGCTGCTTTTGGGAGAGCTTCTTCTACGTCCGAACAGAGCATGTCGTGTCGAACCCGGCAGGGTTTCCTGAGACGTGGAATTTCGCCCGTAGGTCTTCCTTTCTTTTTACTTTATGTATTTCTCTTAAAACGGTCGTTGGTTATATCCCTTTAATGACCTTATTGAGGGTTTGTTTTTATTTTTTGTAGCCGAGAGAGTACCTCCTCCGCTAGTTGTTGATATTCGAGAGTGGGTGAGCACGATTCTCCCTCATACGATGGGGATTCGCGAATGGGCATCTTTCCATGAGAAGTTTGGGCGCAAGCTTCTTATTGGTGAGTTTGCTCGTCGTGGTCTGTTTCTTTGTTCTTTGCTCCGTAGTTTCTTTCACCTTATCTTTGTTTGATAGAATCTCCTCATTGGCAGGTCGGGAAGAGTGAGAAAGGCGAGGGATCTCGTGCTTGCTTTCTGCCAGCCGACTTCCTCTGCCCGGCCCACTCCAAAGGCAACTGCGGATGAGAGCACCCAAAGTTCGGTTGCTCCGTAGACCACGTCTGCGACTGGACCTGTTCGTTTGGAAGTTGCTCCCCGGTCATGCACTTCAATTGTCATAGTCCTTTCAACGGACGGACCTTCTCGTAACAGTGGCGAAGAGGCACTGTCAAAGAGGCGGAAGTTGTCAGAGGGGGCATCTTTGGTTGAGATGCCCTCGAGAGGCAACCCTACTTCGGCGGTATCTGAAGCGGGCGGTGACACCGACCTGGGTGCGGAGGCGATGCCTATTTTGATTGTGGAAGAGACCACTGTGGTAGGGGGACAGAGTTCGGGGGCTACCACAATTGTTCCGAGCGGTCCATCGTCATCTCGGTAGGGCGACACTCCCTCTTCGGCCAATGAGAGATTGAAGGGCGTGGTGGTGGATGATTACGAGTCGGATTCCGACATTGTTCCTGAGGACATGAGGATGTTCGAGGAAGGCTCTACCAGGGTCAATGTGAGGGCGGAAGGTCCTACTCATATGCTCGAGATTCCCTCGGATTTTAACCTGTTGGAGGACACGGTGGATTTGTTGCCTCAAGTTGACCTTCTGTGTTCCACCGCAGAAAGTGAATCTCTTCGGGAGATCAATGATTTAGCTTTGTCACGTGGCGTGGCCGGGATGGCCTTGAGGGTGAGTTTCCTTTCGCCATTTTCTTTGTTTTGTGCTATTTTGCTTTTGTTGACTCCTCCCCTCTTATTCTTCTCTTTTTTTAGACTTACATGCTGGAGATCGAGAGTGCTCGTAGGGCCGAGACCGAGGTCGAAGTCTTTCTGAAAATGGCCGCGAAGTATCGCCGGTACTGCAACAAGTGCCATGAGATGCACACATATCTTAGGGCAGGCGGTAATACCCAATCCGTTAGGGAAGAGTCGGCGAAAAGGGACGAGGAGTTGTGGTCTATTCGCAGATGCAGTGAGCACGAGGAGTCACTCAATGCCAAAGATGAGGAGCTCAAATTGGGCAAGGGGGTTGCGGCGGCGTGCGAAGATCTTCAGGCGAAGGTGCTGTCTTTGCGAGCCGAGCTCGAATAAAATGCCACCACAGTCGCCGACCTAAGCGCATAATGAATGGATAAAGTGGCTGAGCTAAAAAAGAAGGTGGCCGAGTTGGAGAGAGCCGAGGGGGCTCGAGTGTCAGCTTTGGCGAGGGCGGCAGCGCTAGAAGACACTATTCGCGTCCTTAGGTCTGAACAGGAAGCCGAAAGGGCGACTGCCACACTAAAGGAGGCACGACTCGAGGAGTGTATTGGTGAACTTGATCGAGATGCTTTGAGATTGAGAGATCGAGTTACGACTCTCGAGGCTGAGAAGGCGCAGTTGTTGGCTCTGGCCCGCCCTAAAGAATCTACCCCTGCTGCTATCCCCCGCCGCTTGTACGAGCTATAGGTTCATGCCGAGGCCCAACGAGATATATATAAGGGCTTGTGGGAGGCGGGGAGTGTTCCTGAGGCCGCTTTTAAAGATGCTCGGGCGAAGGCACGCGAGGCTCATCATGCCTGCGGTTATGACCCTGCGACACCGGAGGGCGGTGTGGGTGCTGAGGTTGAAGATGGGCTTCCTTCTGATGACGACGATGCTGGGAAGAGCGGCGGTGGAGATGATACCGAGTGAAAATTTATTGCAGCTTTTGTACTTATTTTTTTATTCTTTTGTTGTTTGTTTTCATCTTTTTCTTGTGGGCCCGCTTTCGGCCTTTTGTAAGGCGCAGTTGTTGCGCATGTACATCTGAATAAAATAGTCGCTTTGCTTTTGGTTACATATCTTTTGACTTTCTTTCTCCCCTTCTCTTTTTTTTGAAAAAGATTTTTGGATTTCTCTGTGATGAGTCCCTGATTTTTAATTGGGAATTCGAATGGGGTCGAATTTAGCTCGCTCGATCCGAGCGAGATCGGATCTCGCTTTGTGAGTCCGAATAAAATCACTTTTGATCTTCAAGCTCGAGCGGGGTTGACTTCTGATTTGCCAATTTGGGCGAAATCAATTTTGACTTATATATTCGAGCGAGGTCGAATTCAGACTTGCCAACTTGGGCGAAGTCAGTTTTGACTTGTATATTCGAGCGAGGTCGAATTCAGACTTTCCAACTTGGGCGAAGTCAGTTTTGACTTGTATATTCGAGCGAGGTCGAATTCAGACTTTCCAACTTGGGCGAAGTCAGTTTTGACTCGTATATTCGAGCAAATCGAATTCAGACTTGCCAACTTGGGCGAAGTCAGTTTTGACTTGTATTACTGACTTGTATATTCGAGCGATGTCGAAATTGTAACCCGTTGTGAGTTCGAGCGAAGTCGAACTTTCCTTTCACTTGGCGATGGACGATGGCCGTAAGGGTGTAAATTCAAGCGAAGTCGAAATTGTAACCCGTTGTGAGTTCGACGAGGTCAAACTTTCCTTTCACTTAGCGATGGCCGATGTCCGTAGGGTTGTAAATTCGAGCGAAGTCAAAATCGTAACACGTTGTGAGTTCGTCGAGGTAGAACTTTTCTTTTACTTGACAATGGCCGATGGCCGTAAGGGTGTAAATTCGAGCGAAGTCGAAATCGTAATCCGTTGTGAGTTCGAGCGAAGTCGAACTTTTCTTTTACTTGGTGATGGCCGATAGCCGATGGCCGTAAAGGTGTAGATTCGAGTGAGGTTGAAATTGTAACCCGTTGTGAGTTAGAGCGAAGTCGAACTTTTTTTTTACTTGGCGATGTGCGGGCTTGGTGGGATGGTGAGATTTGCAT